TCACATAGACATAACTCAGGAATGGCAGATATTTCATACACAAGAGACATTAATTTGAAACTCTTGAGAATAAAAGGTCTGATGAATAGGATAATGACGAAATGACAGCAAGCTTTCATTACAATATTTAGATAAAGGTTCCGGTGTAGTCAACCCGACTGTTATGACTTGCAGACACTAACCTGGCAATTTCTTCTGGGAAAAAACAAAACTAGAGCTTTCATGAGCTGAACTTGCTGAAATTGTGCAACGATATTTTTTTTGGTTACTAGAATGTTTTTTTTTTTTTACTTGCCGGATTCAAGAGAACACAGCAACACCAATTTGAAATATCATTTAATTTCCGTACAACTAATTGTGAGGACAAGTTATTGGCTGAAGGGTTTTGAAAAGGAGCACTCTGAGCAATAGTGGTACGTATACGCCATTAACATTGACATTTTGTATGTGCTATTCAGGGTCTGAAATGATGATCTGAAACTGATATAAGCAAATATTCTGCAAGGATCATTTCAATCTTGAATTAAGTGTATGTTTGACCAAAGGTCATGAATGATGAAACTGCTCTCTGATTTGTAAAATTCTAATATGGTGCAGGCCCTCTTTCCTGCTAGCATTACTCGACTTCCTGTAGCAGGCTTAGGTGATGCTGCTTGGCACGGTAATCTCTCCCATGTTGGTTTAAAGGCTGACTGAGTCTGGAGTGTGGACATGCACGTCTGACTCATTCCAGGGCCAATCCCTGCTCAGCCCTCCTCTCATGAGCAGACAGATGGTGGGAGGGTAGATTAGCAGGCCTAGGGTCCTGGTAGAAAAGCAGATATTGCTAAAAACTGACCGATATGGTAGTACCATCTCAGCTCTGGATAAATCCCAAATGCATTTGGAGAGGAAAATTGCAGGCCACACAGTAGTGGAACCAAATGCATTAATTCTACATTCCAGTATAATGGCAAAGATGTTAAAATGGTAAATATGTATTTTATGCAATCTCTGGAGAAATTCAGTAAATATAAGTAATGTATATAACAGGGAATCAGTAACATTTTACATCTCATTAATAGCCCCTGTTAGCAGTAGTCAAAGTGGGGTGATGTGTCAATCTCATGAACGATTTTTTATATGACTCGAGAGTGATTAGTTGTTTTTTGTGTGACCAAACATGTGCAACCTCCTTTCATTCATGAACAAAACGCCTCAGGTGAACTAATCAATTCTGTTTACTGTACACAACACATGTGGCATATGCGATAAAAGAACGAAGACCCAATTGAGTCGTCAAGCAGTCATCAATCATTTCTCATGATTTGCCTTTGGCTGCATTATCATGATTTTCTAATCCGGAATATGATGAAAGTTTGCAAAAACAGACATATTCAGGTTATCTGGATATTAGGGGAAAAAAATAACTCTGCTCAAATAAACAACATGACTTAAATAAAGTCTTGTTTATTTTCCTGAATGATATTCAAAGATCCAAGACAGTAAAAGAATCCGATTTTCACTTCACTACAGTCAGTGAGTAGAACTTTCTTATAGTGCATCACGTAAACATTACAAGAAGGTGCCAAAACAAATGCAGCATTAAAAGGATAGTTCACCTAATAATTTGAAATCCCAAACTTGTATGACTTTCTGTCGTCTGAGGAAAAAACTGTTTTTGACCAAAGAATTGCTGTTTTGACCCTAATGACTTTCATTTTACAGACAAACAGTTTTAAAAAATATCTTCCACAAAAGAAATAAAGGTATACAGGGTTGGGTTGACATGAGAGTACGTAATACCAGAAATTGATTTTTTTCATGACCTATCCCTGCACTATATGATGAACGGTGACAAACCCAAACAGCAAAGCTATATGTTTGACAACTGTATACATGCAGACAGCCATAAATGGGACCTGTGGTCCTCTACCAATTATTACAGCAAAGAGGAAGTGAAGCTTTGGCATGGTAAGAAAGGACACAGTCACAACTCTTATGCTGAGGAACACAAATGAGGAACAGTGTTTGTCTTCTTGGTCAGTATCAAATCCTGTTGCAAGTGGTTTGAGTGGTTTGGCATCTCAAATCAAACATTACTGCATAATACTTGAGTCAGAAAAGTATCTAATTTGTTTACATGCATAAAAAGAGATGGACGAGTGCATATGAATCCATTTGGGTCATAAAGTGGGGGGACAACCCAATCTCTAGACTAAGAGGTCAGCTGGTAGTATAAATGTGACTTCCTTTCTAGCTTGAGTATCTGGCTTTACACACCATCAAGCAACCAAGTACAAGTTAATCTAAAATCAATCGGTGGTCCTTCTGCTATTTGTGGGGGACCAATGGTGGTCTTCTGCTCTGCTTCAATGCTTGTTTCAAGATGAAGAGTGTTTCTGTTCAACACTTAAAAGCACGGAAGAACAAAAGAAAAGGCTAGTTTGGTGATTGGAATAGTGTATTGTTGAACTGAGGGAAGTGAGTTTCATTCCAGACAACAAACTTCTAAATGCAACATAAAAACAACACACTCCCAGAAAGTGGTCCTTTGAGAAGAACTTCAAAATTATGTTTCTTATCTTATTGCAAGTGTTAGGAGAGCTTTGGTATCAGAATCAAGATAAGAACTTCAGCACTCCGAAGTACAATGGCATTATCGTGGTGACGGCCCACAACAAAATTGTATTGCTCTGGATGTCTTATGTCATAGGGCAAAGCTGAGGATCATTAGGATGGTACCTTATTTAGAGATGAATGGGAACTCTGAAGTGGGGGAAGGCAGGCAGCTATCAGGGAAGGGTGGTCCTCAGGGGAACTATGGACTCACAAAAGCACATCTGCTGTAACAAGACCCCAGTCCAATCTACAAAAGTTACAAAGAGAAGCATGGTTGTTCGAAGTAAAAAACTGACTGAATTGCAAGATGTGTGTCACATCACATTAAATCACAGTTTGGTGCATAGTTACTATTTGCTTATCTTACAGCAACTTGTGTGTTTATGAGGGGGAATGGACATTTGGCATTTTTTGAAAAAAATGCTGGGGGGTGGGAGGAAGAAACATTATTGATGAGTATATGTCCTGCTTGTAGATAAAAAGCTTTTAGACCTTCTTACTTTTGGGATTATATAAGTATTTTCTCAATAAATATCTTATATTTAACTGTGGTTTAACTGCTGAATCTAAAATTTTAATACAAAAGTAGTTATATTTGTTGTGCATTGTTAAACTATAACTTAACTTCAGTTTCAGAGAAACTCGTGTGCACAACATGCAAAAAATGTTTCCTGTTAAATGTTGTAAATGTATTGAAGACAAAAGAAAAAACATAATAAAAGCCACAAAATCCCTGTCCTTGGTATCAGCAAGAGATTTTGACATAATCAGCTGTTTTTGTTTATAACTGCCATTGAAGGCCATGTGCATTACTCCCAAGTTACACATTAAAAAGTCACATGTAGCTTCCAGACATCACTGCTGTTCAAGCACAGCCTTATATATTATTCAAACTGTGGAACTATATAAAATATGCCAGAAATATTTGTATGTAATGAAGTTGACCATGAATGCCTTCACTTCACAAAGAAAAAATGTTCTCAAGATTTATTATAATTATATATCTCCCCAACAATTAATGTCAAAGTTATTTTGTCTGTATGGATGATATATCTATAATGTGTAATATATTTTTGAATGAGAAACCAGACTTGCCTTGAAACATCTACAAGAAGGCATTTCAATGATCAAGACCTAGGCTTGAATGCTAACAGTAAACGTCATGTCTAATACAATTGCAGGAAAAAGTATGTGAACCCTCTTGTTTTCTGCATAAATTTGTCAAAAAGGACAACAGATAAACAAAAATACACTGATTAACAATGAGCAAGATGAGATTTTGAATTTGCTATTTACAAGAAGCATTGTCTGATGTCAACTATGCTTCTCTACACTTAAGATTTGTTGACAGAAATCCATGGCAAATACAAAGGTTCATATACATACTCTTGCAACTGTATAAACATGGGTTAGGCCTGCTTACAGCCATCAACAACTACTATCACTCCTTTTATCATCATCATCACGTAACATGCACACACCTAAGCATGTAGTAATATTACTCCTGTAAATTTTGCGTAGGCAACTTACAATTACAGGAATGCAAGCCAGATTCATTCCAAGTTTCACTACACTTTCTTTGACAACATTAATTTACCTAATGAACTCAGACCAGCTAGTAGCTCCTACAGTATACAGTCATGTCACTTATCTTAATTTCAATGAAAAATACCCCTATTTTGCATCGAGAAGTACTTGGAAGATAACCACAGATACGTATTATGGCATTATTGCGAATACAATCAGAGGTAAATGACCTACAGAGCTGCTGCTGTGTTAGATTGTAAACAACACAGGATCAAGGTGTCCACCACTATGACCAATACTAGCACTTGTAACCTTTGCACAGACTATTTGAAAGGCTGAAAAGAGCCTTATTGGCGTTATCACAACAAAATACGCAAATACGGAAAACAATGTATTGAACTTCGCAAATAAAAACAGCAGTTTTGATCAAAATCGCTTAGGCCTTGCTCTTCAAATAGTCCAGCTTCCCCTTCTTTCACTCTCAAGTTGCAAGAAGCAAGTGTAGCAATGTGCACGCGACAGCCGGGTGTGTGACGCTAGACCAATCAGAGCGCAGAGCTCCGAAAGTTTACCTTTTATGGCTAGAGCCGGGTATCTGCCGTGGTATAAAAGAGCGCGCCCAGCCTTACAGCTTCACTTTGAGCTCCTCCACACGCAGCTAGTGCGGACCATCATCTGCTTGTAACCCATTATCTAAAGTCGACAAAACCCCCCAAACCTAAGGTAAGTTGATTTTTAAACCTTTGAAGTATTTTCTTACATTTTCAGCTCGGTAATATCAATTAAAACGTTTAATTAGAATGTTTAAATAAAGCCAGATTAAGTTATTAGGCTCAGTTACCGGGCTTTTTTTTTTTCAGTTACGTGCGAACTTTGCTTCTAAACTCCAGTTATTTTTTATTAATGTTTTTTTTTTTTATATATCTATCTATCTATCTATCTATCTATCTATCTATCTATCTATCTATCTATCTATCTATCTATCTATCT